TATTTTCTTTAGTGACTTCCTAAGGTCCTGGCTTATCAATATCAAGGGGTTCCTTACACACGAAACACCTATGAAAGCACCATTCCTCAATATCATCTGGGACTAGTGGAAATATCATTCCTTTGACTCAGCACAGAATTATTGAGGGTATGCTACATGGCTGCTAGTGTATTGCTTGCTGGAATAAGCATTTAATAAGCCGGTCTCTGTCCTGAAGAAGCTCACAATGTTGACCAGAAGTTTATAACTGGGCCTGATGACCACCCTGAATTTTTATGTAAAGTGTTGCCCATGGAGGTCTCAACAAGGTCCATGATGCTGAAACATGAAACAGCACAGAGCTGAGCCCTATTCCTGGACTCTTTCAAGGTATTCTACAAGCTGATTTTCAGATGATGGATTTTTTCTAGGTATATAGGATTCCTAGATGATATAACAATGCCCCCCCACAACACACATACACTCACATGCCTCCATGGAAACAGCTCAGTGTACTCAGTCTGAGAGAATAACTTGGCTCCAAATGGTTATGGGAAAAGGAGAAGGGACAGAGAGAAACTGGGTGGGTGAGAAACAAAAGATTAGAAAAGATATCTGGGACTCAAGAGGAAATATTGTATTCAACATGAAGTCCAAGCAAACAAATGAACATTTACTTTCTACATATGTTCTGTTCATCCTAAATGAGATGAGGATAGGCCATGATAGATTCTAGCATACAATGGCCAATGCTAGGGCCTCAGGGTTTTTTGGAATGAATCCTATTGACAGCAATCCATGCCCTTTCCAAGAAAGTAGTCCTTTAAAGAAAAAAAAAAATTCTACTTATCCTATTTCAAGATTTGTTGTTTGCATCTAATAAAATCTATAAATAAGCCTCTGCCCAGATAAATAGACAAGAGCACACAAAGTCACATTTAATTCATGGCATTTACAGTTGTCCTTATATATATCCAAGAATCCCAGATTAGAAATTCCAAATGAAACACAGTGCCTTAAACACATCTGTTGAAAAGAAGGAAAGTCTGGACTCTAGATGTTGCCCGCCTCAGCTGGGATATGTCCCTCTCTGCAGGCTCCTATAAAATTTTTCTATCTTCTTTCCTTGTCTGGATCTAGATTGAGAAGAGAGAGGTATCATTCCATATTTCTGTTCCTGCACTCACCCAAACCACAGTCTTGTTGCTGTAATGGGAACCTGTTCATGTCTTATCTGATGGCTCAGTCCAGATACTTCCATCTGAAAACCTGTTCAAGACAACCCACTAGAGAGTTTATGGATGTTGAAATCACCTCCCAGAGTTTCAACTTTCTAGCCACCCAAGGAATCCTTGAGCTCCCCTCCCTCTCTCCTCTCTCAGAGGAGAGCTGGGCAACACAACCAGTATCTTCAGACTTTTCAAGTATTTTCCCAGGGACTGGACGGGAAAAGTGGAAACAAATATCAGCTGATGTGGTACCCAAAGGCTTGGTTATGTGACCACCAGAAATCTTGGATCAAGGATTAGAAAATCTGTGAATGTTCTTTCCATTATCTGCCTCAAGGGTCAAGGGTATACCAGTTGCTTTCAGGGGTCTTATGTACATTAGTTTGTTCTCGAGCTTATGGATTCCAATTGCATATTTGTCTGTCCTATTTCTATGAGTAAATCAGTTCTGAACCAGAGGAACTTCAAAGGGTCTGTTAACAATCATATGAACGAAACCGTTCCATTTCTTGTCTTAAAATCACTTTGTTTATGTTCAAATCATTGCCCATTTCATTCCATATTTAGAGTGAGTGAGATGAGTCTTTTTATTCACAGAATGTAAAGATCTAGTAGGAATCAAAAAGAAAACGTTACTATAAATTTCCACAACACTATCATTACTACATGAATGGTAGTCTGCTAGGGAGAGCACATAAAAGATATTTCTGAGATCAGGGAAACTTTTCAGAGGAAGTGACATTTAAGACAAGAATAGACAAATGAAAGAAACAAGGTGATTGTAGGTGGGGTCAAGTGGTAGTTCCTCACAGAGGGAAAAATGTGAACAGAGGTATCAGAAAATATGATGAATTCAAACAAAAATAATTTTATCATAACTATGACAACAAAACATGAGGAAAATTTTGACACAAAATGAATCTGTGATAGCAGATTCTAATCATGTAATGTCTTAAAAATCATGGAAGGAATTTTGTCTTTATTCTGAAAGCAATGAGTGTGAAGTAATGGTGATCATGATTAGATAATCATTGTTAAAAGTTTGTTGTTGTTAGTTGCCATCAAGGGGTTCTGACTCACAGCGATCCTGTGTAAGAGGGTAAGTACAAAGTATCACCACAAAATCATAGAAACCTTTATTAAACAAAAATATTAAAATGTGAAGCTATTGTTTCTTGACAAATCCTCCATCTAGGTCTATACACTTCTGAAGGCATTGTTTCCATCTCTCTATCCCCTCCTCGAAGAATTCTGCCATCTTAGATTTACAGCATGTCAAAATGGCAGTTTTGGCATCCTCGAGGGACACAAATCACGTTCCTTTTAAATGTTCTTTGATTCTGAGGAACAAAAAGAAGTCTAAAGGGCAAGATCAGGGCTGTAGGGTGGGTAGGGTAAGGTTTCCCAATGAACCTCTCGTAGGGCAGCCCTTACTACCCTCAAAGAATAAACAGGTGCACTGTCGTGATGGAAAAAAATTCCTTGGTGCAATCGTCTTGGCCTTTTTCTCACCAATGCAGTTTTCAATTTTCTTAAAACCTCTTCATAATAAATCCCATGATCATCTAGTGTCCTTCGAGAAAATCTATTAAGATTACCCCTTAGGAAGTATGATAGTTGCCTTGTCCTAAACCCCTCATGGCACAAACAGTTAAGCGCTCAGTTGCTAACTGAAAGGTTGGCAGTTTGAACCCACCCAGTGGCTCCATGGGAGAAAGATCTGGCAATCTGCTTGTTGAAAGATTATACCAAGAAAACCATAGGGGGCAGCTCTATTCTATCCCATGGGGTCTCTAAGAGTCGAAATCAACTCAATGGCACCCAACAACAACGAACCGGCGTACAGTTCTGACCCCCAGAAGAGGAGAAGGCAGGAGGAAGAATCTGAGCACCGGTCCATGCTGCAACACCTCAGAATTCTCTAAAGTCAGCTTCTGGGGGGCCTGCACATCATGCCTTTCTGGCCCATCACCAGGACTCCCTTTTTGTTTGTTCTGTATGTTTGTTTTTTATTGTGGTAAATGTACATAATGTAGAATTTGTCATTTTAACCATTTTTAGGTGTACAATGTAGTGGCATTAATTAATTAATTATTGTCAACCATCACCATTATCTATTTCCAAAAGTTTTCATCACCCTAAACAGAAACTCAGTTCCCGTCAAGCAATAACCCCTCATCTACTCTCTGTCTCTACGCATTTTTCTATTCTAGATATTTCGTATAAATGGAATCACACACACATAAAAAAAAAAGGTTACCCCTTAGGCTAATCCCAAAATCTTCTAAGCAGTCTTCTCTCTCAGTTTGACCTTCCTTGAAATGCCTGAGCCATCTAAAAACTGTTGCTTTATGTGGGGCAGCATTTCCATAAACTTGTTGCAAAGCTTCAATAATTTGGGAAGATGTCCACTTGAGTTTTGTCAAAAGTTTGATATTAGCCTTAACCTCAAAATCATTTTTTCCATGGCACAAAAAGTATCCTTGTTTTTTGGAAGGCACCCTTAGGAGAGTCAGACAAGTGTATTCCTGAGACAACTTGTCAGCAGCCATCCACTGATCACAGAGACATGTTTAAATACATTTTGTTTGGAATAAACCCGTGCATGTATGAACTAGAACCCTAGTAGCAATATTTTTTGACTTAGCCTCGTACATCAGAATGAAACACTGTGCTGTCCTTACAATCATTCCTGTGTTTTAACCATTGTGTCAATCCTTCTCATTGAGGGTCTTAAAAGTTTACTATGGCTAAAGTATTAGGAAAGAAGGAAGAGTGAGTGAGTGGAGTAATAGGATACAATTGCAGTAATCCAAGTAAGAAGTAGTGTTGGTGTGGATGAGACTAGGTGTTGTCAGCAATGTTGAATAGAAATGGTCGGGAGAAGGATTCTATGATTTACAAAGAAGAGAACTTGGTGATTGATTATTGTAGATTAAGGAGACAGAAAAATGAAAGATGACATTGGCATTTCTGATTTTAGCTGAGTGGGGGGAGTTTCTATTTACTAACAGGGATTATAGCAAGAAAGTGGCTTAATTCATTAGTCAAAAGTTAATTGTTGATTGACTACTTTGCACTAAGCATTGCTTTACATGCTTATTTTGGATTTATATGCTGAATTTGGATAAACTTATTTATATGCTGAATTTGGATAAGAGGGAGGAAAATCAATTAACTTTGGGACATTCTGTGTCTGTAAACATCCAGGTAGAGATGTCTCCTAGCAGTTACATACGTGATGCTTGAGTTTAGAGAACAACTATGAGCAGAAGAGATTTAAGAATGATTAATAACCAGATTAGACTAGATTAGATTAGAAAATTTATTGCAAATTACTAGAACTAGTTGTTACGAACATGGGGTCTGGAGGAGACTGCCTGAGTGTGAATCCCAACCCTGCTTCTTACAGGTTTTGTGTCTTTACACACTTAACACTTTAGCTTCCTCATCTCTAAAATGGGGATGATGAGTTCTTGAGAGGATTGTCGTGAAAATTAAATAAATACTCCGAAGAATTGCAAAACCTGTTGCCTTGGAGTTGATTCTGACTCATAGTGACCCTTTAGGGCAGAGTAGAACTATCCCATAGGGTTTCCAAGGAGCGGCTGGTGGATTTGAACTGCTGACATTTTGGTTAGCAGCCAAGCTCCTAACCACTGGGCCACCAGGACAATGGGTAAAAATTATAGTAAAGATTAAATTAGTTATTTATGTAACTGTTAAGCACAAAAGTACAAGGTCTAGCAAATATTAAGAGCTCAATAAAAGATTGTTTTTTTTTTTCCTCAGAGCGTATAAAAGCGTGAAATGTCTGGAATGGATTGAAAATGGGCAAAGGGATATAAGATATTGGCATGAGATTCTCTAAGGACTAAACAACACAATCCAGCTAAGATATGAAGGTAAATGAAGAGAGGAGTGAATCAGAAATATAAGGGTCAACAGATATGAGGACACAATGATGTAGAAAAATTCTATATTGGGAGCAATAGAGGGAGAAAATTGGAAGAAATATGATTATTTGCAAAGATTATATAAAATTTTTCATAGTATTAATCTCATTTTTTGCATATTTAATCAAGTGAAAGATTCGTAATATATTTAATAATTTTCCATTTGCTGAATACTCTTCCCCCTAAGTATTTAAGTGCTAAAAGATCAAGATATTTAGGTGTTTGTCTTTGTCAATGATAGCAATGTTAATATAGTAAGAATAACATAAAAATGTTCACATCTGTAGAACACATTTATAAATATTGAATTACCTTTTCTGCTTTATAGCAAAGGAGCTCTGGCGACACAGTGGTTAAGTACTCCGCTGCTAACTGAAAGACCAGTGGTTGGAACCTACTACCCACTCCAAAGGAGAAAGATGTGGCAATCTGCTTCCAGAAAGATTGTTGATGTTAGTTGTTGTTAGGTGTCGTCCAGTTGGTTCCAAACTCGTAGTGATCCTGCGTACAACAGAACAAAACACTGCCCAATCCTACGCCATCCTCACAATCACTGTTATGCTTGAGCGGATTGTTGCAGCCACTGTGTCAATACATCTCTTGAAGAGTCTTCCTCTTTTTTGCTGATCCTTTACTCTATCAAGCATGATGTCCTTCTCCAGGGACTGGTCACTCCTGGTAATATGTCCAAAGTATGTGAGACAAAGTCTCACCATCCTCCCTTCTAATGAGCATTCTGGCTGTACTTCTTCCAAGACAGATTTGTTCATTCTTCTGTCAGTCCATGGTATATTCAATATTTTTTGCCAACATCATAATTCAAATGCATCAATTCTTCTTTGGTCTTCCTTATTCAATGCCCAGCTTTCACATGCGTATGAGGCGATTGAAAACACCATGGCTTGGGTCAGGAGCATCTTAGTCCTTAAAGTGACATCTTTGCTTTTTAACACTTGAAAGACATCTTTTGCAGAAGATTTACTCAATGCCATGTGTCATTTAATTTCTTGGCTGCTGCTTCCATGGGCATTGATTGTGGATCCAAGTAAAATGAAATCCTTGACAACTTCCATATTTTCTCCATTTATCATGATGTTGCTTATTGGTCCAGTTGTGAGGATTTTTGTTTTCTTTATGTCGAATACAGCCTTGTAAACCCTATGGGGCAGTTCTACTCTGTGCTATAGGGTTGCTGTAAGTCAGAATCGACTCAATAGTAATGGGTTTGGTTTAACGAGTTTAGTTTATAGCAATATATACTCTTTCAAATCTTCACAAGAAAAACTACAAGGTGCATTTGGTTATTGTTAACTGATGGATGAGATTACTGAGGGGCAGTGATTAAGTGACTTGTTCAAGGTCACAAAGATTATAAATGAATGAAACAGAGGTAGAACTGCTTTTTTCTTCAAAGTTACAATCTTTTCACAATACATTTTTTTTACAAGTTTTATGTATTCCTTGAGGAAAATTTAGCAGAAGTAAAATTACTGTATCCAAAGATATGAAAATTATTACAGTTTTCAGTTTTAACCTTTTTAAATGTGATAAGAATCTTTTTTGTGTCATTACATATAGTTTATTTATGTTACCTAGGAAGACCAAAGAATAGAATGAAAGGGTCTTCAACAGGATGGATTGACACAGTGGCTGCAATAATGGGCTCAAGCATGACAGTGATTGTGAGGGTGGTGCAGGATTGGGCAGAGTTTCCTTCTGTTGTACGTAGGGTCACTGTGAGTCAGAACCAACTTGACAACACCAAACAACAATAGGAAGGTGAGGGTAAAGGTTGCTTTTGTTGTTGTTAGTTGCCATTGAGTCATCTCTGACTCATGGTGATCTTATGTTTAACAGTATGAAATATTGTCCAGTCCTGTGCCATCTTCATGATCATTGGTATGTTTGAGTCTTTGTTGTGACTGTTGTATCAATGCATCTCGTTAAGGATTTCCCTCTTTTTCACTCACCCTCTACTTTACCTAACATGATGTCCTTATCTAACATTGGTTTTTCCTGATGATGTTTTCAAAGTAAGCAAGTTGAAGTTTCTCCATCCTCGATTCTAAACTGCATTCTTGTTGTATTTCTCTAAAAGTGATTGTTCTTCTGGTAGCCCATTGCATATTTAATATTCTTCATGAACACCGCAATCCGGATGCATCAATTCTTCTTTTGTCTTTGTTTTCCACTGTCCAGCTTTTACGTGCACATGAGGTAATTGAAAAGACCATGGCCTAGATCAGGTGCGCCTTACTCATCAAAGTGACATCTTTGCTTTTTAAAGCTCTAAAGAGATTTTTTGCAGCAGATTTATTCAATATACTATGTCATTTGATTTCTTGACTCTTGCTTCCATGGGCATTGATTGTTGATCCAAGTAGAGAGAAATCATTGACAATTTCAATTTCTTCTTATCATTTTACAAATATATATTGTAAAAGTTAGAATATATAATAAAGTGATGCACAGCATTGATTGATAATTACATTTCTATTAATATCTTCATACTTTTCTCAGAGGTTTTGCCTTGTATATTTTGATAATAATAGAATAATGACATTCCTGTTTCATCTTCTTTACATATTTTATAAATACTGAATTAACTTGTCTAGTCTATAGTTTACCACTGAATTCATTTTCAGGTATTACTATATTAGAGATAATTATTACATTAAACTTACTAATTTCATTTTCTTTTATGATTGTTTTAAATATATCTTTTTATTCTTTTGCTTTTAGGTTCCTGTTACATAAAAAACCAAACCCATTGCTGTCGAGTTGATTCTGACTCATAGGGACCCTATAGGACTGAGCAGAACTGCCCCCATATGGTTTCCAAGGCTGTAATGTTTATGGAAGCAGACTGCCTCGTCTTTCTCCTGAGGAGCAGCTGGTGGATTCAAACCACTCACATTTTGATTAGCAGTCGAGAACTTAACCATCGCGCCACCAGGGCTTCTTCCTGTTACTAATCTGTTCTTTATTTCTAAAGTGAGTGGATTATACACGTCCATTGTTGTGCTCATTCTCTTTCCTCTTAAAAAAACAATGGGAAAATCCTAATTAAATTGAGAAAAAAATCTGAGTAATTTAAGAATGAGAGCATACAGTGATGGAAGATTTAAGTCAATGGTTTTCAATGTTTATTTTTTTAAATAACCATTTTCAATGGAGGGATAAATTTCCTTGAAAGATAATCTATTAGTTATAGAAAACCATTCTAGGAATCCTGATAACACATAAGAAGTATTCAACTCCTTCTCAAAAATAAATGAATAAATAAATAAATGAATGAATAAAAGTCATGAACTAATTGTTGATTGAATGCGTTGGCATTTTATTTGCCAATACACTTCCTATAATTTGGCTTAAAGTGCATCATTATCCCTAACCCTGCTTACTTTGATGACCTAATAAAATATAGCTTATCTTCCAATGTTGCTAATGTGCAGATTCTTATCATGTTGACCCCTGCAAGAAATAAAATGAATGGGAAGCCATACCTGAAATTTCCTTAAATATCTTGTTTGTTTCAAGATATTACAATTACAGTATTTCCTGAAGACAGTTTATCCCACTACCCTCAATCCAGACTATGTCCAAAATATGTCATGAGAATTCCTTGGTGGGTGGTAACTCTTCTTCATTAAGCATGTATAGAGGCAGTGAATTGAAGACCACAAAACATAAACTCAGGTGTGCAAGAATGGAACTTTATTTTAATATAAATTATTTGCAGTCCTCATCCCATCAGATGGCAGACACCAGATCTCATCAACTCAAAGCCTTCTAACTGACAATTTGTGATCATCTAGCCACATTGGCCTTTGCTGGAATCTGAGTTCTTATTTGGTATTGATTGTTTTGAAAGCAAGGACTTTCCTGGTCTAAATATCTCATTCTCATCTACTTCTGATTCACTCTAGGGTCATGCAGTACCAGTGGGGTTATCTAAGACCCCTTTTAGACACTGTCAGTCACACAGAAAATTATTGAACTGGTTTTCACACAGCATTGGGGAATTCTATCAAACTATCTCATCCTCTTCTGTTTCCATAGACTCTGCAACCATTTCATGTTTATTATCCTCAGATAGCCATAGAGACAAATGACACTTTCAGAGCAGAAAATGACAGAATAAAGCATTCAATCTACCAGAAACAAAGCAACAGAACTAATAAACTCTTGGGGTGGAGAGTGGGGATAATCTGAGAATTAGAGCAATGGCTCTATGTCTCTTAAATGACATGAATGTCATTCTGAATGACATTGGCATTGAGTAGTTCATCCTCCCAAGAAACACATCCCATAATGCAGAAACCCCCAAAGTCATCAATCTGGCTCAAATTCTGTGAAAAGAGAGGAATTGATTGATACCATTCTGGATCTCCTTGGTCTTAATACTATAAATTATTGGATTCATAAGTGGAGGGAAGAGGAAGTAGATTTTGCTCATGATAATATGAAGTATATGTGACACATATTTCCCAAACTGCTGTGTAAGAGTCAGCCAAGTCACAGTGACATAGAAAACCAACACAGCTAATATGGGAGATACAGGTATTCAGGGCCTTGGCCTGCTCCTTATCTGATGTAATTCTCATGAGAGTTTTAAGGATTAAGATGTAAGAGATAAGGATAAGCATAGAGTCCAAGAATGAGAGTAGGTTATAGGATAGAGTCTATTGAAGGTGATGTCAACATAGGCCAGTTTGATCACATCCTGGTGCAGTCAGAAGGCATGGGAAAGTACATGAGAGCTGCAGAAGTGGAATTCAGGGAGGGTACAATGAGTATAAATCCCCTCATCAGAACCACGAACCCTATTTTCACCACCTTAGCATTAGTGAGGATGGAAGTGTATCTCAGGGGATTACAGATGGCAATCAAATGATCACAGACCATGACAAGCAAGATTCTGGACTTAATAAAAAAAATGAGTGGATGAAGTAAGTCTACAAGAAAGAAGCCCCATGGCTGATTTCTCTGTCATCCAGCCACAGAATACCAAGCATGGTGGGCATTGCTGTCCAAGTTAATCCAAGGTCTGTGGCTGCCAATATAGCCAACAAGTAGTACAAGGGCTCATTAAGAGTGTGGTCTTCTCTGATAAGGTAGAGAATGGTACCATTGCTGAGGAGTATGGAGACATAGATGAGAAAGAAGGGGATGGAAATCCAAGGATGAAAAATTTCCAAACCTGGGAAGCCAGTAAGTAGAAAAGGGGCAGAGCCGATGTTTGAACACATGGTGGGTCCCTGAGAAGAAACAAAAAGAAAAATGTCTCTAAATATTGTGTAATCTCCCTTGTATGCAATACCTAGAACAGGCAAACGTATAGAGATCAAAGGTCAGTAATGGTTACCAGTGGCAGGAGGGAGGGGGGAAAGTGAGAAGCATTGTTTAGGAAGCAGTGAGTATCTGTTTATGGTGATGGCAAATTTGACAATGGATATTGGTAATGGTTGCACAACATGATTGATGTAATTGGTATCACTGAATTATACATATGAAAATGTTGAATTTGCAAATCTTGTGTTATCTATATTTTTGTAATAAAAAAAAGCTGTCTCTAGACTAGCATTACCTAGTAGAAATATAATTTAAGCTACATAAGTAATTTTTAAATTTCTAGTCGCCACATTAAAGAGAACAAACAGGAAATGAGAGAAAATTAATTTAATAATATATTTTATTTAATCACTATATCCAAAATTTTGTCACTCTAGAATATGATCAATATAAAATTTTGATGAGATATTTTACATTCTAGTTTTGTATTAATTCTTCAAAATCTGGTTATAGTTTACACTTATAGCACATCTCAACTCAAACTAACCAGAAGCTATAATAACGGATGGCGTAACTCTAGACAATGAAAATTATTTTTACCATATAATTTTTAAAAATAAATCACAGAACCTCTATATGGAATTGTGCCCAACTTATAGTCGCCTTTATAGATAAATTTCTTACTCCAGTACTATAATTCTACTATTTTCTAGTTCCCCTGTGGCTTGGTTAGAATCCTCTGCTAAATCTTCCCCAAAGGTCTGTCTAAATCCCACATAAAACTCATTATTACACTTTGTTCATGTTCTGCTTTGGTATTGATTTCACTCATATTTTCTCCAGCACCAGCCCTCTAATGTTTGTTTGTTTTTTCCCCCCTCTGTACTAGAAACATATCTTATAGTGAAGGAAAGGAGTCAGTACTTTCATTTTGGATATATCATTCATATCAGTCATTCGATGAATCAACAAATGGTATTGAACACCTATTTAAAGGAGAAACTAGACTGCAGCTTAAGGATACAAATCTCATGATCATATGAGAAACAAAGATAAGCTCCCCTCGGGTTATATTATCTCTACTTAAACCGAAGTTCACATTGTAACATTTTGTATAGGTAAATGAATTACGAATCCTCCAAGTCCTAACTTCTCAGGGAACCCCTAAGTGGTGCTTGAACTCTTTTTTTTTTCCCCCTTCTCTGCTGTGAATAGATCAGTTGATTCTGATCTTGCTGAACTGTTATATTACTAAGCTTTATGGAGTTTATAGTCTTGTGCTTCAAATAAGCATGTGCATTTGCCTCCAGGGGATAGAAGATAGAAATCTTGAAGTGGCTCTGCTCAGTTGTTAAATTCTATCTAACAGCAGTCGTATTTGTCTCTTTCTACGTGAACTGACATTTCTTGCTTCTTAAAATCTCACGGCTTTGTGCTAAATGCAGTGACTGTTCTAGTAAAGGAAACAGGTAGCATCCTTGAACTCTTATATCTAACAGATTAATGCGATAGATGCGCATTAAACATTTGATAGTCTTAATAACCTTATATGAAAAATAAAAATGACAATAGCGATAGAATGCCTACATATCATAGCAAATGCAGAATAAATATTTTTGTTGGTCTTGTTAGGTGCCATCGAGTCAGTTCCGACTCATAGAGACCCTATGTACAACAAAATGAAACATTTCCCAGTCCTGCACCATCCTCACAATAATTGCTATTTTTGAGGACATTGTTGCAGCCACTGTGTCAATCCATCTCATTGAGGATCTTCCTCGTTTTCTCTGACCTTCTACTTTACCAAGTATGATGTGCTTCTCCAGGGACTGGTGCTTCCTGATAATATGTCCGAAGTATATGAGACAAAATCTTGCCATCCTAACTTCTAAGGAGCATTCTGGTTGTACTTTTTCCAAGACAGATTTGTTCATTCTTCTGGCCAAAAACCAAACCCAAAGCCACTGCTGTCGAGTTGATTCCAACTCAGAGACCCTATAGGACACGGTAGGACTGCCGCATAAGGTTTCCAAGGAGCAGCTGGTGGATTTGATCTGCTGATATTTTAGTTAGCAGCCATAGCTCATAACTACCGTGCCACCAGGGCCCTGATTCTTCTGGCAGTCAGTGGTATACTCAATATTCTTCGCCAGCACCACAATGTAAAGGCGTCAATTCTTCTTTGGTCTTCTATATTCATTGCCCAGCTTTCACATGCATATGAAGCAATTGAAAACACCATGGCTGGAGTCAGGTGCACCTTAGTCTTCAAGGTGACATCTTTGCTTTTTAACACTTTAAAGAGATCTCTTGAAGCAGATTTGCCCAATGTAATGCACCATTTAATTTCTTGATTGCTGCATCCATGGGTGTTGTTTGTGGATTCAAGTAAAATGAAGTCCTTGACAATGTCAAACTTTTCTCCATTTATCATGATGTTGCTTATTGGTCCAGTTGTGAACATTTTTGTTTTCCCTATGTTGAGGTATAATCCATATTGATGACTCTGTTCCTATAACCCATCTTTCTAACCTGAAAGACATATATGTTAAGTGACATTATAGAAATACCTATAGACACCTAAGATATTTTTATCACAGGTACTGAGTAGCTGGTAGAGAAAGATATTCAGTAAATAAGAAAACAAAAAAATTACACAAACTAGGTCAAAAATCTGGACATAAAGAGATACCTTAGGGCAATCTGTAGCTTTCCCACTACAGCTATTTTACGAAGGCTGCTAAGCATAGGTATGAGACTCCTTTGCTCCTTTGCCAAAAATCAGAGCTCTTACAGAATGGGGGAGTCTGTGATCAACCATAATGACCAAATATCAAGCTCCAACTCTATAGGTAGTAAAAAAAATGGAAAATGCCATGCTGGGTCTGCTTGGTCTTGACACTATAGATTATAGGGTTCATTAATGTAGGGAACAGAAAATCGACATAACTCATAATAAGGTGGACAACATGTGGAACCCGCTTCCCAGACCGAAGAATCAGAGACAATCCAATCACTGTGACATAAAAACATCAGGACACAGCAGACATGAGGGACACAGCAGACATGAGAGACACAGGTATTGAGGGCCTTGGATCTCTCCTCTTTGGAGGCAATGCTCATGACACTCTTGAGTATCAACACATAGGAGATGAGGATAGTCAGAGAATCCAGCACAAATATGAGGACCACAAGTACAACTGGATACAAACGATTGAAGGTAATGTCCGCACAGGCCAGTTTGATGACATCCTGGTGAAGGCAGAATGCATGGGAAAGGATGTGGGACTGGCAATAGGGGAAAAAATAGAGGGGCATGATTGGGGGAATGACAGATACAAATCCCCTCTTCAGAATTCCCAGTCCAATCTTCACCACTCTAGTATTGGTGAGGATGGAGGTGTATCTAAGGGGATTGCAGACGGCAATAAAGCGGTCATAGGCCATGGCAAGCAAAACACCAGACTCTACAAAGGAAAGTGATTGTATAAAGTAGGCTTGGGAAAAGCAGGCCCTGTTTCCTATCTCCCTGTGATCCAACCAGAGGACTCCCAGCACTGTGGGCATCGTGGTTAAGGTCAGCCCTAAGTCTGTGGCTGCCGGCATGGCCAGGAAGTAGTACATGGGCTCATGAAGATTGTGCTCTTCCTTGATGAGAAGGAGAAGGGTGCCATTGCTAAAAAAGACAGAGATATAGACAAAAAAGAAGGGAGTAGAAATCCAGTGGTGAGATGTCTCCAAGCCTGGAAAACCAGTCAACAGGTAGGAACCAGAGCTGCTGTTTGGCCACATGTTGATTTTATCCTGAAGTAAATGTCTTTCTCAGTTATGACCACAGAAATGCAGTTCTACTTTCAAGGTATCACTCCAGTTATGCCATCTCAGAATTCTTTCTTAAAGGTAATAATTACGTCAATATAAGCCATTGTTTCTTAAATATAGTCTTAGGACAACTTGTAGGTTTTGTGTTCTTAATTGCACACTCTTAGGCCCAGTTCCTACTTAATCAAATCCTTGGTACTTCTTCTGAGCATCTGCATTTTAATAAGCTCTTATACTACAACTTAGAAACCATTTCTATCAACTATGCAGATTACATAAAAGAATCCACACTCTGGAAGGGATTGTAAGGAAGCCAACCTTAATCTTAGTCCAATCTACTACTCAGAGCTATAATTACCTTCACGGTAGTGATTTCTATCCCATATTATCCTGCATATGAACTATTTGTCTGAATTCTCTACAAAGTTCCATGAGCTTAACGGAGAAAATACAAGAAGAACAACTGTGTCACTACCATTTTTGCTGAGGAGAAAACAGATGTGAGGAAGAGACACTTTACCCCCTCATTCTATGTACTGTTGTTGTCGTTAGGTACCATCAAGTTGGTTCCAACTCATAGCGACCCTATAGGACAGAGTAGAACTGCCCCATAGGGTTTCCAAGGAGTGGCTGGCGGATTTGAACTGTCGACCTTTGATTAGTAGCCAAGCTCTTAACCACTACCAGGGTTCCATTCTATATATTAGTGTTTGGGAGAAAAAAAAAAATGTGTACATCAGGTATTTATTAGCTACTTCTGGGACACTGCAGAATTACTACCTGTGATAACAGCCTAGAGTAATTGTAAATTAGACTATTTTAAATGCTGGGGCTGGAATAAATGCTTGGTTCAGCCAAGGAGATGACTCGTTATAGTGCTTATCCTTCAGTTTGAAAATTTTGTTTTCTTGGTTTTCCATGTAGTTTCTTTCTCTTTCCCCATTCTCTTTCTGTAGTTCCACTGAAAAGAATTCCCCAGAACCTGATCTTCTCTCTCCCTTCAAGTTCTCCCTTTGTAGTTAAACAACCATCTTCCTGGTCTCCCTTCATTTACCCCAAGTCAATACTCAGTAAGAGCTCTATTGCTGCCTAAACAGAGAGTTGTCTGTAGAAGAGAGAAGATGCATCCTTTAAGCAGATGTTGGAATTAGTGGTTTTAACATTTCTTCTGCCACCAGACTATAGGCTCCTTGTGTGTAGAAACAATATTGTATTTGTCTCTTTCAAACCAACAAAGTAACTAACATGTGGCATGCATTCATCTGTTAGTTCACCCAATAAATATTAAGCACCCACATGTGTTAGTCATAGCACTTTGAGCACTGGAATTAAATAGTTTCCAAGATCAAGTGTCCAACCTTAAAAAAAAACCTACAAACTAATTTAGAAAATAAATATGACAATTATAGATAAATATAAATGCAATTTTAAAATAGAATAATGTAATGTAATAAAGATTCATTGGGATGGAATGAATATACTTTAACATAATACTTTGGGTTGTCTGAGACTGTACCTCTGAGAAAGTGGCACTTGAGCTGAGACCTGACTAACAAAGAGGAGCTGACCGTATGAAGATCTAGAGGAAAAACTGTTTCATTCAGAAGGGAAAACCAGTATGGCTGGGGCTCAATGGGCAAACAGGAGAGGGACAATAAGTAATGTTAGAAACTTAGGAAGTGGTCAGGTTTCATAGGGTTTTATAGGTCACAAGAAAGAGTTTTGTTTTTATTAAAAATGTCATGGGAAGTCATTGGAGAGTTTTAAAAATCAGTGTAGAGAAGGGAGTGGTGATATAGACTGATTGACATTTCAAAATTATTTACTTTGAGCGCTTCGTGAAGAATGGATTATAGTGAAGCAAGACAGAAGAAAGCCATGGAAATCATCCAGGTAAGAAGTGATGATGACATTGACTAGGACGGAAGTAGTGAAAATGAAGAAAAGTTAACAGATAGGGATATATTTTTGAGATAGTACCAAGAAGAGTTCCTGATGACTTGGAAATGGAAGTGAGGGGAAAAAGAATTGAGATTAATTCCAGATTTTGACTTGAGCAAATGGAAGGATTACTAAGTCATTTACTCAGGGTGGGAAGTCTGGGAAAGTCTGAGGATGTGGAAAATCCAGTCATGAGTAAATATGGCTACGATGGAGCAAATGCATGTCCTGGTTATTTCTTGTACTATACAAAAACAGTTTCTTCAAGCTTTTTAAAAATCAAATTCAAAAGATGGTCACATTCAAATGTTACCCTTTCAAGTTATTTTCCAGTATAAGCCACAGCCCTTAAGATGTCTCCAAAGAGAACTTCTTTCTACCTCATACCTGTACAGGTGAGATCTAACTGCAATGAATTCCAGCAGTGAAGAATTGTCCGACAACTGGGCATGAGGAGATACTTCAACCCTCTTGCCTTGATTCTAAGGTATGAAGAATTAACAGAATCATTTCTAAGTCTCCATGCTCTTTCCCCAGTCATGAAATACATAAAAATGTAGTATCCATTGAAAATGTAATGAGTAGTCCTTATTCTTTGCTCACTGGATACAAAGATAATACCACATAGATCCTCCTCTTCTTCTGTGCTCTAAACATAACTGCATTCCTCTGTCCTCGCTTTTACTTTCTTAACCCTTCAACAGTTATATTTTTTAACCCAATCTCTTGCCATACTGAATTTTGTGAAGAATTCCTTCTTGTAAAATAATAGGTAGCACAAGTAATGAAGAACTACAGAAAAAGCTACCCAAAGTGAGAGGGATTCTTTCTATTTTGCCACTAACCTGCAACTCAAAGCTTTTCTTTCTCTGTTACCAAGAATGTCATGTATATCTACCCTGTTCTGAAGCTATAAGAGAGAGCTATAAAATCACCATACTTCACACTGTGAGAAATGCATGTGTCCTCAGCTAGAAGCTGCTCTTGGTTTCTGAGAAGGATTGTGAGGGAAGAGACAAGAGCTGAGCAAAGATCATAGAGAGGGAAAGAGATTAAAAAGGTTGAGGATTGCATCAAGAGGAAGAATCTATTGTTGAGTCTGTGGAAAGTCGAGCAATTTTCTCCCATTTACATCAGTACCCCTTCTTCCTCATTTAAGTCTGGTAGATCAAGAGATGCCTCTGTTTTTATCTCCCAGATGGGAGAGAAGCAAGGAAGAGGGTCATCCCCACCCCTATGTGGAGAGGTCACAATATGCACACCATGGGCATGGTAGGAGTTGGCTACTCATGGCCAAGTCTCTTTCCAAGTGCTACCAACCTCTGGCTGAGACCTATGCACTTGTCCAGCACTATGGAGTATGGAGGGACTACTCTGCCACTCTTTATCTTTCTTAGTAGAGAGTTTACAGAGGAGCCTCCTAATACCTTCTTTCTGCATCTTCTGGGAATTTCCCTACACTCACCTGTACCATAGCTTGTTTGCTGGGTTGAGAAGTAGAGTTCTTAGGTCCTGCCTGAAGATTCAGATCAGATGGCTCCTTCTCAAAGTCAGGTAAGACACTCAGTCAGTGAGTTTATTAGTACAAAAAACACCTCCCCAGAGTTCTACCTTTTTTAGACAATTGGGATCTTGATAAATATTTTCTGTCTCCTAATCCCTCCTAAGAAGGAGATGAGACACTTGATTATCTCCCCAGGGTTTTAAAGCATCTTCTGCAAATAAGGTATGGGGTTACTAGAGCCTCAGGTGGCAGGTTTGTGCATGGAGAATCAGAGTTGATTCTCATGGCCCCAGCAGACCCTGTTATTACCTGTGGGAAGCCATTTATTTCTCTACATCTGCCTCAAAGGACAAACATTTCCCAGTTGTTGCCAGCAGAAATTTATGCATCTTCTTGGCATAAGTCTTTTGAATTGTAATTATATTTTCTGCCTGGTTTATCTCAGAGCCAGTTTGAGAGTGGAAAATTAGATAGAGTAGAGTCAATGCAGTAAAAGCCAGGCAGTCATCCTTAGGACACACATAAACCCACAATCTGCAATCTGTACTTACTATTTTTCCTAATTGAATTCATCTTGCTAGCATTATTCTTGTTTCCCAGATATGCAGAGAACATACTTATTAGACAGTGCTGCAAATAAACATGCTCCATAGCTTTAGCTCTAGAGATATAGTATCTGGTTTTCCCTCCAATCCTGACAGGACCCACCCTGCCTGTTACAGGTTTTAGGGGAAATAAGCATATATAACAAGAAGAACAAATTTCCCGCCCATGAAGAAATACTTCAGTCGTTACCACACTTTGTTACAATTAAGGTAATGTTTAATGTAAATCAGAGACCTAGACAATTCCTACTGAAATCATTAACTGGTTACTCTCAAAGTAAATTTAAACAAGTTACTTAACCTCTTTAATATTAAAGTGCAATTAGATGTAAACTTACTTAAATGCGTATAATCTGATGCAGAAAATTACAAAATGTTAATGAAATATATCAAAGTAGACCTAAATAAATGGAGAGGCATACTATGATCATGGACTGAAAAACTCAACATAGTAAAAATGCCAGTTTTCCCCAAATTGATCTATAGGTTTAATGCAAGTCCCATCAAAATCCCAGTAAAGTTTTTTTACAGACATAAACAAGCTTATTCTAACAATTATATGGAAAGACAAAGTCCTAGAAGAGCTAAAATAATTTCAAAAAAGAATAAAATGGGAAGGATCATTCTACTTGATTTTAAGGCTTGCTATATAGCCGTGGTAATCAAGACTGTGTGGTGTTGGTGAAGGGATAGATCAATGGAATAGAATAGAGAACCTGAAATAGACTCACACAAATATGCCCAACTTATTTTTGGCAAAGATGCAAAAGAAATTCAATGGAGGAAAGGTAGATCTTTCAAAAAATAGTTATGAACCAACTGATTGTTTGTTGTGGGGAGACCTCAACTAAGATATCCTATTTATGCAAAAAATTAACTCAAAATAGATATGGATCACATACTTAAATGTAAAACATAAAACTCTAAAAATTTTAGAAAATAAACAAGGTAAAATCCTTGGGGCCTAAGTCTAAGCAAAGAGTTCTTAGACTTGACACCAAAAGATCTTATTAAATAAATGAAAAGAAAAGTAACAGACTGGAAGAAAATATTTGTGAATTATTTACCCAACACAAGTGTCTAAAATATTTGAAGAACTCTAAAACACAGCATTAAAAAAAAAAAAATCCAATTAGAAAATGAGCAAAATTCATGAAAAGACATTTAATTTAAAAGAATACATAGATGGCAAATAAGCACATGAAAAGATGTCAACATCATTAATCAACAGGG